CCGTGAATAATTATTTTCTCTATTACCACCATAATTACCACGAGTAGAATTACCATTACCACTGCTACCATAAGTTCTTCCACCTGTAGCACCACCTTTCTTCAAAGTTTCATTCTCTTTCTCAACCATTTCCAATTTCTTCTTCAATTGATCCAATAAATTACCTGTACCACCTGAACCACCTGAAATACCCAATGAAGTTTGTCTTTGAGTCCTAAAAATTTCCATCACTGAAGCAACATTTTCCTTCTTAAATGAAGATCTTTCTTCTTCATTCTTTGTTAAATCTCCAAAAGCCATATGCATCCGCATTACTCTACTAACGTAATTTTCCAACATACTCAAATGAACCATTACATAATTATGACCAACCTTCTTCAACTGCCCTTCACTATCCATTAAAATTTTAATTTGATGTTGAATAGGTGCTGAAAAAGCCTTGAAGTAATACCTTGCCATCTGTCTTGAATCACCTGAATCAATTTGACCTGAACTCTTCAAATAAATTAACATGGTCTTTGATTTATTTTCAAACTTCACATAAGCATCATTTGTTGAAATGCCACCAGCTCTAGCCAAATCATCACATAATTTATACAAATCCACATCCGTATACAAAGGTTGAGTACCTGCACCCCATAATTCATTCATCTCATTCTTCAATAACCTCCATCTTTGAGTCCTGTAACCAGCCATAGCTTCAATAACAGTCTTCATCTCATCATATTTAATAAAAATTTTGACTTGAAGACACTTATCTCTATCACTTGCATTATCAATCAAAGCAGCATCTTCAAAATCTCTCAAAAACCTTTCCATATCACCACCTGATTTAAATGATAAACTTTTGTCAACTGGTTGAATCTTAACAGGTTTCTTCTGATCCTCATCTTCACTAATGATTTCCTCATAAACAACTCTCCTTGTCTTCTTTGATTTTAACTTCTTCTTAATTTCATTTTCAATAAATTCATTCTTCACATTCCTCATTTTAATTTCATCATCAACTTGATTTTATCCATCACTTTCCAATTCCTTTCCAACACCTTTACCCAATAGGTCATCCTGAACTTTCTGAGCATCAACATCATCCTCTGAATTATCACTATGATAAACTCCTTCACTCCTTAATTCTCTTCTACGAACTTTCTCATCTCTTGAAGCCTTCATCTTATGCTGCTTTAATTTCTGCAAAACTTGAATAACTTCCTTCTCAGTTAAACCATCCATCAAACTTTCCATATTATCCTCAGCAGCCTGATAACTTTCTGATAAATCTTTTCCTTTTCCTTCATCCAACACATCATAACCACTTGAACCAGCCTTCACATCCTCCTTTTCCCATTCATTATCAAATAAGTTAGCCATTTGGATTAAATTTAATAAGTAAATTGAGTTAATGAATTAATTAATCCAAAAACACAAAATTCTTGATGAGTTGATGAACAATAAATAAACCAAAAATAACAATAACAATTGAAAACCTGAGTGAATCTTCAATAATTTCTAAAAGACCAATATTGATCCTAACATACCCGGGAGGCCGCGGTCACAAGCTTCATTAAGTAACATCTGAGTGTCTTCAACATTTGGCTTGCGCAGGTATTCATCCCCGTATAGCTGAACAACATCTTGACAAAAGGTTTTAAGACATTCCAGAGCGGTAGACTCGCCAATCTGGATGTATTCGTCCTGGTATTCGGCGGAGACCCCAGTAGCCAACTGTCGCATAGCAGCCGTGAGCTTTTGGTGAGGAGATAAACCAAGACGTTTCGCGGCATCGTATGTCTGGATCCAGTAGCGGTTGTGGTTTTGTAAATCAATCATAAGCCTGTCAACAATGACTTGATCTACTCGATATTGTCTTCGGAAGTGATAGTCGGTGTAAGAATGATTCAGAGCAAAGTACTGTCCGTATATGATCTCGTGTGCAAGCTGACGATGTCGGCTGATTTCTTGATGTGTTTTCTTCTCTTCAGGAGGAATTTGTTGTGTACTTTGGTACCAGTGAGCGGCTACTTGGGCTGCAGCCGAATCGATGTCATCGTCATCGATGAGGTCGTCAACAAAAGCTATGAGCTGGGTAGGATCCATTGATGTGGTTCATATGACTTGTCTTCTGTTCGCTCTGGGTGGACAGAGCGAGTATCATGGAGGATGAGATGGTACAAGCGTACCATATCCCTCAATTGAGGTTAGACCCCCCATTTTAAGTGCACTGCTGTGCACCCGTGTTTTTTCGACCCCCTACATCCACAAATCTGGATCAGGGGTCTGTTTGGGGGCCCGTAAAATAAGCGGACCGTTGTGGATGCTCTAAGGTTCAATCCACAGTTGACGGTAAACCTAACCTAACTAAGTCCCTCTTGGACAAACGAGTAGTCGAGAGAGGGACTTATAGCTTATCCACAGATTTTGGCGTGTGAGCCTGTGGACCTTTGGCAGGGGCACTTTTCAATCTGATACACAGCATAATCCTGCTTACAAAAATCCTCCAGACCCAAGAAATGCACCGTTCTCTGAATTGCCCTACATACACCTGTGCCAGTCTCACCCTCCTAATCCAAATGGATACTGAGTTATTCAAGCCCAATTTTTTGGGAAATTGCATCCTCTGTAACTTGCTGCGGAGGCGTCAGAGAGTCTTCTACTCCTGTCATTTGAGAAACTCTCAAATTTTCCTTCGATCTCTTCAATTGATTTGAATGAATTTGGAAGGGAGAGGACATTGAATGAATAGCACTCGGTTTTGACTTTGAGATCTTTTGAAACCTATCCATACCAGAGGATTCCTCATACGAGTCTCTACACTTTCCAACCTCAACAGGGGAAGCCTCAACGCCTCGCGATTTATAAGTACATCGATTCAATAACTCTGAATAGTTGCTCGTGATCATGAAGCTCCAAAGGAGTCACCATATTTACGTAACTGACAGCTTCGAGATAAAAATTCCTCATTTTTGCCCAACCTGTCAAACTTGTTGCAAACTCGCAGCAGCCACACTGGAAGTTTACATGAGACTGGATTTTTTCAATCAATATCTTGATGACCTTCCTGGGGGTGAGTGTTTATGTAGAAAAACCAGTGTATGTAGGACAGCTCACAGAACAATCCATTTCTTGGGTCCGGGGGATTTTTGTAAGCAGGATTATGCTGTGTATCAGATTGAAAAGTGCCCCAGCCAAAGGTCCACAGGCTCACACGCCAAAATCTGTGGATAAGCTATAAGTCCCTCTCTCGACTACTTGTTTGTCCGAGAGGGACTTAGTTAGGTTAGACGGTAAATCAACTTTTGCTTCTTATCATCTCACGCTCACACCCGAAGCCACGAAGCCTCGTGGCGCTATGGCAGGGCTCAGGGCCGTGGCCGTGGCCGTGGCATAGGCCATGGCCCCTGCCCTGGCCTTGGGCCCTCTGTGGCCTTTGCAGGGCATTAAGCTGGCCTTAAGTCCCCTGAAGACAGGCTTAAGCATGGGGAGTCGGCCAGAGTCGACTTCGGCTCTGATCAGACGTTCTCTGGCTGATGCAAATGAAAGCCTTTGTTCATATGTGGAGCATACGACCTCAGCATTTTGGATCTTTCTCTTTTCGAAGTTCTGGCATTGATTCATGATGATGAATGAACAACAACCAGATTGAAGCTACAAGTCTTTGAAAACAATAGATGTAATTGTCTATTTTTATTTCATGATACCACTCACATTATGATGTTGCTTTCTTTTGATTCTTTGCTGAATTTACAAAGAAATAACAGTAAAGACGAGCCAGACAGAAAAATCAACACGAGAAAATCATAAAATTCACTACATTCGAATAAAAATCTATATGTTCCAAGTTACCTTTGAAGATTTATCATTTTATCGTCCTAATGCCATTAAAGCCGCAATGAATCTTAGACTTGTTTCTTCTTTAAAAATTTTAAAAGATCAAGATAGACAAAGGAACTTGGATTGCAGGGGATTGAGTAATCGGCGAACGTTTGATATGGTGGGCTTTATCGTGGCGCCACGGTAAGGCCCTGGCTAGAAAGGGCCTTACCGTGGCAGGCCACGCCGGGTGTAGGCCATGGCCCTGGCCATGCCCTAGGCCACGAAAAAGACGCCGGGTGTGAGCGTGACTTGTCAAGAAATTCCTCATTCTTCCATATGAAGACAATTTTGGCTATGCTGCTTTTCTGGGTTATCATACTATGTGATCTTTACCTCAATTCATAGCTTAACTGAACTTCGGTCCAGTAGCTGGCATCATCATGTTTGTGTCACACTTTGATCAAAAAGTTGAAGCAAATCCTGCTTATGTACATTATAATGGCATCACAAAAACCCCTTTGTATTGGAATAGAATAGATCAAAACCAAGATATGATGCTTGCTCAATTGTAGGTGAATTTCCGGGATAGACTTTGGACTGAAATTGGTTTCTATTCTACCTTTAGGTAAAAAGATTCATGCTTGAATTGAGCAGAACATAATGAACCTCTTTTGGTTGTCCACTGGTGTGATAAAGATTATCTTATATTTGTTTACCTTCTCCATGTATGACGATTATGTTGGTTTCCTGAAAAGCTTTTAGCTTCATGAAAAAAAAAGAAGAATTCAATTTCCAATCATCATATCCAACACCTTCTATGTGACTTCTGGAGAAAATTGGTGATCTTTGTTTTGCAAAACGTACTTCACAAATTAATATTAGTCAAATCCGAGCTCAAAAATTTGACTAAATAAGATAAACAATGATGTATTTGCATAGGCACATGCGTAAGAGATTGTAGGAAACAAATAAATAAAGTCCAATAGCTCAGACTCAGTCTCAGAGCCGTAATGATCAAAAAAGACGTGTCACAAAAATGGTCTGGTATATGTTTACAAGTTGATTTTGGTATGAGAAAAAGAAACTTGTTAGTTGAATCGTCAGTTGAAGAAAATGAGAAGAAGGAACTTACAGAGAGTAAGATGTGGAGATATGAAGATTTGCACATCCAATAGTAGTGCAAAAACTCTTCAACAAGTCTAAAAGGTATCAAATCCCATAAGCTTAATAAGAGTATGATCTCTGATACACAAAGAATATAGATTGCTTACATGATGGGCCCACACCTCTGCATTAACTGCATCATCAACACAACAGGAAGTGATAATACATCTAGCACTGATTCGAAGATAACTATCATCCTGACAATGACAATTAATATCAAGCTAATTGACCGAAGAAACGTTTATCAGTAAGCTTTTTTTGAAAAAATGACGACATTCATTATGAAGAAATTCAAGGAAGACTTACTAGGTTACAGTTTCTAATAGTACCTAATGCTGCTTTGATCACACATCCTTGAGCACACTTAGGAAGACCGCTGAGATCTAAACCTGGTAAGCTGAAAGCCTCAGTGCCAGTGGTGGAGATAGTAAAGACGAAGACAGTAAGGAAGAATAGGTTGTAGAATGAAACCATGTTTGAGATTTGGATGACGATGATTTGATGAAGATCAGGTATAGTTGGTAACAAGTGGATATTGGATGATGAGATGAATGGAGGGCAAGGTAAGGATGGTATAGAGGATTTATATGTTGAATGGAGATCTGATCAAAGAGAAGATTAAACCCAAGGAAAGAACAAGAAAGCTTTAGGATCGTTTGAGCGAGAGGTCTGAGGGTGTGAAAGGATGGCTCTCAATCACTCTCAGATCCCAAGCTGTGGTATGATACTTCTCCTTACCTGTCCCAATCCATTGAAGCTCAATCAATCAAACCATTCCTGGCGATTTTTAAATAGTCTCTTAGACTTCACTGACAAAATCACATTCAATAATTATGGATCTGGATCTTTTAAGACCTATAATGAAGCATCTTTTTCCCGCTTTCCCATTGCGCTCATCCAATAGCGATCAGTCTGTTCCACTTTCTCCCATCAATTTTCTCATATTGACATCCTGAATTCAGGATATCTCTGATCCATAGAACTTTGTGGATAATTGACACGCACATAACTGATAATTAGAGTCTTTTCCTGCTTGTTTCGTCTTCGCGCACGCCGCACTGATATCGAGTGGGATCGAGATCGGTTTGCTTGGTCACATATCTGCTCAATTCCACGCTGCTCTGGCACAAAAAAGTCAATTGTTCTCGAAACACCAATGCAAAAATTTAGGGTATTCAAATATCTTCTGGAAATTTCCAGAAGGTCTTTTACAGAACGCCAGAACTTTTTTTTTTGGTGTGTTCTGGCGTTCTGGAATTTGGCAATTTTGAATGCACCAAACTTCCCAAATGCCCACAAAACCCCATGAGTGTGTTATGTACACGATCCAACTCCAACTCTGCGCCCCTCATCCACGCTCTTCACCGCTCACACCCAACAAATCACAAGACCATCAGCTACTCTAATCACTACACTCATCTAGTTGAAATCAATTCACCACTGATCCCGCAATGCCTCGAACAAGCCAGCGTCGACTTTTGAAACACTCCATCCATCTGGCAATCAACAAGCGGAATCAGCTCGCACACACTAACTTTTCAACTCTGGCTTTTGTAAAAAAAAGGAACCATGAAAGTTTATTCATACTTCGGTGCATCCAAGCGATCATGATGCATCAAAACCAACTATCAGAGGCTGCAGCAAATGATGAGCATGATGATGATGGATTCGAGGCTAAGAAGCCATTCTACCTTTTGTTGCTTTCAGCGCTGGAGCATCACTTAGCCAGGGCACGGTCTGTCAAGCTGGTGCTACTTGGTCGTCGTCTACGTCAAATAGGTCAAAACGAACTTGATCGTCTTGAAGAGGCTTTAAAAATTCTAAATTCATCTCGTTACGTCAAGGATCGGGAATCACGTGGACGGAAAGATTTACGAAACCAATCATTTCCACACAGGATGTGGGAAGGAGGTGATTCTTTTGTGGCTATAGTAAGTAATGACTTTGTCCGATTGTGTGTTGCTTTTGGCTAATGGTGGATATTGTACTTTATCTTTTAGGCCTGAATGAGCAAGGAACGTTTTTGGAAACTGGTTGAGCTGATTCAGTCAAATGAAGTCTTTATATCTAATTCAAGTAATAATCAAGTTCCAGTACCATGGCAGCTTTTGGTGGCTCTAGCAAATCTTGGATCTTCGGGAAATGGAGGTGATCATTCTCACTTGGCATACATGTTTCACATTTCAGGTTAGTGGACTTACTTGTTTGATTAACTTTGAGTCTGTTCACTAATCCGATAATTTTTATAGAAGGTAGTGTCCACAATTGGACTAATCGATGTATTTACGCTATCCTTGAAATTGAAAAAGATTGGGTGTTTTGGCCAAAAGAGGACGAACGAGAAATACTCAAATCAAAAATGGCTTCTTCTGTCTTTAAAGATACCGTGGGGTTCATGGATGGAACTCTCATTCCACTGGCCTATGCACCGGTGAGCAATCCCGAGGACTACTGGACTCGAAAGAATTTTTACGCTTTCAATGTCATGTTGGTGTGTGACATCAACAAAACTATACGATTCTACGAGCTTGGTTGGTGTGGCTCAGCTCATGATCAAAGAGTGTTTCGCTCTTCGGTAGTAAGTCACTATTGGATGTGAGTGTAATGAAACGGTCTAATTGTACTAACTTCCTCACAGCTCTTCTCAACTCCAGACGACTTCATGCAAGAGGATGAGTATCTCTTGGCAGACTCGGGTTATACCTTATCTCAACACGTTATTACACCTTTCAAGCGCTGCCAGGGTCGCCGATTGAGGGAAAACGAAAACGCTTTCAATGAAGAGTTGAGCATGTGGAGGGTGGTCATTGAACAGAGTATTGGAATGCTCAAAGAGAGGTTCCAATCTCTAAAAGAGCTCAGGATATCATTACGAGGTGTGCAAAGTGCTAAAAGAGTCAATGCTTGGATTCGTGTTTGTATAATTTTGCATAATTTCACAAAGGCCGATGGTGAAGAGTGGCATTCCGAATATGGACACAATCGAGAAGTCTCTTTGGGACCAGGAAGGCATACTCAAAATCAGTCTTCAGCTGACACCGTGTCCGTATCCGTGTAGCACGTCCACGTGCACACACCAAATACTTTCAATACATACTTGAAAGACACATTAAAGAGGTCTCCACAATAGGCATGTCTTCCCTTTGTCAACTGGGACGTTGGCACTCAGTTGACCCCAACTGCTGACAAAGGATCCCACAAATTCTTTTGTCAAATTGTCATTCACAAAGGGTGCTCGGCACCGATCTCAGACTAAAGCCTACCAAACAGCTTTCTGTTTTTTTTCAAAACTCTCCGTGTGTGCACGTCGACGTGCTACAAGGATACCGACATGGTGTGATGTCTATGAATTTGGTCAGGATACTACAAGAACACTTTTGTATAAATCATCTGCGATTGCTTTGGCTTGTTCATAAGGAGCGTTGTTATCTTTCATAAACTGATTGATAAATTGACCTTTTGCCATGGCCAAATCCAATTCCATAGCACGTTTTGTTTTTTGAACATCTAATTGAGCTGCCTCAAGCTGACAAATCTTGAGTTTTGCATCAACGTGTGCTTGTTCTACCAGTTCATCTTTGGTCAACAAGCTCGTGGCATCTTCTTTTGGTTTCAAGACACTTGCTAAAGAATTCATCATATCCTTCATTGCAGTGTTTTCAAGTCCGCTTTTAATGAAAACGTCTTCGAGTCGTGTCATTGTTGAATTGGTCTCAGTATCCGGGCGACTCAAAAGTTTGATTACTTGGGATTCAGCACCGCGCTTGTTATTCTTGCGTGATCGAGAGGTTTGAACCGAGCCACTGTAGTTGGAAGTTTGAGTTTGAACTGAAGGACTCTGTTTGTCTGGAAGAGATGATAGAAGAAGCGTAAATATTAGTACATATCTAACTGATCACAAGGAACAATCTTACCACTATGTGGACTGTGGTTCTCTAGAGAAGATTCAAGCTGAATCAACATGACTTCACATATGCAACAGATGATGAGTACAAACTTACGATCATCTTCTTCAAATTTGTCATCCAGAGCTCCTCGAATTTGATTGTTAAATTCATCTTCAACATTACTTGAGTCGAATTTCTTATGATGAAATTCATCATTTGAAGCTTGTGAATGATCATCGTCATTTCGTTCGGTCGAATGAAAATCTTCAGGGCACTGTGAGGACTTCTTCCCCTTGGATGACATCCCCAAAAAACCTAAAGAAGCGTGAGCAGGAAGTTGTGCTGCACTGGTTGCACCATCGAGTCGAGTAGCCTTGTCTCGAGTGCCCAGGATATGCTCAATCTGATAGTAGTATTTAAATTTATTCTTGATTACATAATCTGTCATAAAACAAGATCAGCGAAGGACAAGACGGACGTTCAAGAGTAGAAACACTGACCTTCTATCAAAGACTTCTTACGCTCCAGACTTTGCCTTTCCATGCACATTCTTGACATCTCGGCCATGAAACCCGTTTTGAGCCAAGTAATCAATAATTTCCTGCACAGTATGAGTTTTCACAGAATTCATATTTTTATATCGGGTCCAATTACCGTAAGTTGTAATCCAATTTAACAAAACACTCATTGCACTTTCTCCCTTATCGTTTTTCTCCTCTTCCCAATAAACCGGTGCCTTTCTAGTCAAGGTACCATCATCGGCATCTTGTTTCTTTTGTTTCTTAGATGTGGTTGTCAATTTCGACTTCGAGTTTGAGATTTTGCTTGTGGTGGCTTTGCGGGTGGCTGAAGACTGGGCCTTACCTTTTTGAGGCTTGGTTGATTTTCTTAAAGATTTTTTAATCGGAGAAGGATGTTCGATTGGTTGAGAGAGCGAAGCCATCGAACTGAAGGACGATCCAAAGGGAGAGGGTTGAAGTACGGTTGCAGGGAAGCTTTGTGAATAAAAGTTTGGTGAAGCCGAATTCAAATTGAAGGATAGGGCAGAGGGGTGAATTTGGAAGGCCAAAGGTGTGATGACAGGATCTTCTTGAGGGCTGCTTGGATCGCTGGAGGTGGGGATATCGGTATCGTTGTTGATCATTTGATCATGCATGTTTATCATGTATGGTATGCGGAGTGAAATGAACTAAGAGTGGAACACACGCATGCAGAAAACAAACTTTGATTGTTTGCAGAAGTTTAGGTTTTTCCCAAAGTTCAGAAGGGTTCTGGACTTCTGGAAAAAACCTTCTGGAAATTTCCAGAAGATATTTGAATACCCTAATTGAAGAGAGAGTCTTGATGGGAATCGGATAGAGGTGTACCGGCTTATACCCGGGTTCTGTTAGGTTAAGATCGGGGTCGAGTTCTTGACCAGTGTTCGTGTGACACGAACTGATAAATTATAATATCATCATCACCATCACCATCACCATCACCATCACATATCATGGACAACAATAAACCACTATGGCAAACAGATGAACTCAGTCAGGAATGGGTTCAATCTTCTTCTAATTCTCAATTCTCATCCGAAATTCAACACCCACCTACAACTACTACCAGTCGTCGTTCAACTTCCTCGCGAATACCCATCAGCACCAATCGGTCACGATCAATTGAACCTTCCTCTCGATCTGTCTCTCAATCAGAGCTCGAACCCTCAACCTTTCGCCCTTCCATCTCTCAACCTGAACTATCTGATGGGTCCAGTATTGTCGTAAACCGTGATCTTCCTCCTGATCCGGAAACTCCGCCATGGCTCAAAGCTGCGGTTGATGGAATGGTTCAAGACGTTCTTGGGAAGCGTCCGGGGAAGCTTGAGAAGATTTTTCAACCTGAACAACTTGATCATTCCAATCACAAATCTTCTCTAATGCGTGAGTGTTCTTTCGTTTACTTCCTTCATTCTCTTACGCGACCTGCCCATTCTACTACTTCTATTTACTGAAAGACAACAAATTCTATCGTAAAATGTTTCCATTAGTCAACCGCGAAAGTCCAGATTCATTCCCAGACCCCCACCACCCTCCTCGTATTCAAATCAACCACCATAGGGTAGCCGAAGACGCGGACCTAGCGAGTTGTAAACTAGCCAAGGAGACCTTTCAATTTGCTGTCCCTCGATCAAACACATCCTGGAAGTCTCTTCGACATTTCTCCGCTTCTGATGTCTCCTCAGAGGAATCGTCTGGGCGGAGCTCCATCGTGGAGCGCGAGGAACCCCCGGCGGCCGAGTTCTTCGAACCAGCTGCTCAACATCAATATTATCGCCGCCCTACCCGTCTGGGTGATATCGAAGTAATTGAAGAGGTTTCAGAGGAGCCTAGCTTGCAGTCTGATTCAGGACGTGAATACGCTTCAGGTTCACTTCCGAGTTCTACGCACCCACCTTCAATCCCTTTCGCGCATCCAACTCCTTTGCTCCGTCATCCAACTAACGGTCGAATGGAGCAGCCTGATTCATCTTCGTCTCAATCCGATTCCTGTGAAACTTCTAATTCGATTCGCCCTCCGCCTTCCTCCTCCGCTCAATCACAGCGCCAAACGTCTCAACCCACACCGGATCCGCAAGACCACGAACAGCGGATATTCCATTTCACATATGATACCTTCGCTCGAAAACACCTCAGTCGACTTGTCGAAGAGATCGACGGATTTTCTTCAGGCTCCCTACTACATGACGGCTCACCTAAAATTCACGCTTTGATAGGATCTCCAGGAGAGGTTCCATCCTCTAATGTCAGCCGATCTAGTCGTGGTCTGGCTCATTCCACACCCCCTACTACCAGTCTTTATGCCGGTCGGACTCCTTTTCGCCCGTTGCAACTACCAACGTACAGCCAACGCGTCAGAGAAGAGGCGGCCTGGCACGCCAGCTTTCTCGAACCCAACGCTTACGCAGCTGAAAGCCTTTGCGGACCTGGTCACCACTTCCTCGACGCAGACAATGATGATGAGAAGAGCACATCCTTTGATCGCCAGGCTCAATTTGCTGCCACTGCTCCTGCCAGAAGCAGTAAGCGTATCAGGCTTCTGTCTTCTCTTCCTTCTTCAACACACCTTCATGTTGCGCCCTCTCTCAACACAAGCAGGTTGAAGGATTCAGTGATCATCGCAAGCGAGCGAAAGACCAAACGTCATCTCCCTACTGATGTGCACAACCCAACTATGGGGATGCCTTCAGTGACTGATGCCGAACAACAGCCTGCAACTCGTGATCGATTGGCCGAAGCACGCGCACTGATGGATCGCATCCGTGCCAAGAATATATTGCCACCACCTGTCACAACTACACAAAAGTCAGACCATGTTGATTCGAGTAGCTCTCTGGCTGATGACAGTCAATCTCACCACCAATTTGAGACCCCTATGAACTCTCGTCCTCGTAACCCCACGCCTCACGCAGCGTCATCGATACCACGTCAATGGATATCATCTCCGGAAAGTCAGGAAGATTGGGCGGGCGACATTGAAGAGAATGAGACTCAATCTTGTGAGCAAGCTGGTGAAGGAATCGAAGACTTGGTGGGAAAGTCTCAAGATGATCAAGTGTCTGATTCGATTGTCGAACATGACGATGAAAGGCTCATTGCCGAAGAAGACGAGGATTTTGCATGGACTATCGTGAGTGACACCTCTGCCAAAGGTATGAAAGATCCTGCCCAAATTCACCCAAAGCAAGTTGAAGAGCGAGATGAAGCGGATTCGATACACGATGAATGTTCTAGTACCCGTATCCGATCCTGCGGCAGTTCTACATCCGAATCTTTTGTCCAGCAGAGTCCATCACTCGATGCCGTACACGAACGACTCGCATCTACTGCTGCAGCTTCATTACGCCAAGCTCTTCTCGACTCAGCACATCCTGCTAGTCGACCATCGGCAGGAGTACATCAGTCTAGGCGAAGTCCCCTTGGTTCTGGCAGATCGGTGGCTTCCTTTGCTGCCCCTGGTAGTGCTACTCGCCGGCATTTTGCAACGCAGCCTATCCCGTGTCATGAACTCGTCACTGATGCGAAGGTTGGGATGAATATTGGAAAATCAGCGCATATGTTGTCATCTTTACGAGCTCGGCCGGTAGGATCATTCGACCGCCATACTTCTGGTACCGGTTCCACCTACACACTATCAAGTACAACCACCAACACTAATCAGGCTCACAAACCGATACTCATGACTATCGGTCCAGCAGATGTTGAAGACCTTTTGCAGCAAGAGCGAGTAGGTGGAATGATATTTGATGCAACTCAAAAGAGATGGCGGCGGTGTGGTGTTGAAAAACAGCCGGTGGAAGGAAAAAGGAGCGAAGATGTTGGCAGTGAAGCAGAAGAAGAAGAAGAAGATGTGTTTAAAGATATCGAGAGTCTCAATAGCCGTGGGCTGACGGATGATCAGGTGTCTCGTCGGCAAGAGGAAGATGAAGCTGATGGCCGATGCAAAGAGGACAATCATCAACGTGAGCCGACAACGACAGATGGAGGTATGTTTGACGCCGCAGTGCAACATAATGAGCCTAGGACGGCATGCTCAAACTTCAAGGTCGCTCAACACTTACCTTTTGTCGATAATCACTCCACACCGGCTACGACCACCCGACCCAAGTCTGCATTGAAGTCTCGACTCGGCGCAACTCGAGCGCCTTCTCCCATACCAAATGAAGAGGTGGTGATCGAACATAGTACTAGACCTAACCGATCTGTCAGTTTTCAGGACGGGAGAAAGAACGGTAAAATTATCGGATTGGTTGATCAACCTCGTTTGGTTCATGATCCTGACGGCACAACAGATCAAGACGCTTTCAAGTCGATTGCGACCACAGCTGATGAGATTTCAACACGTACACGTCGTATTGGGGCCGCGCTTGATGAACTTATTGGAGTAGGTGGAATGAAGCCGGGGGATACATCAATGATCTCGCTTGGCTCGACCACTAAGAAAGTCAGACCAAAGAATGGTCAAAGAAAAGTTTCATCAGGTTCATCGGGTGGTGGTGGCCAAGCGGAACGAACATTCTTGACCGATTGTTCCTTTGGAATGTCACGGGAAAAATTATTGAAGCTGATCACCGATATTGAACCCTATGAACCTATGTGGGACCAATTGAAAGTAGTAGATCTGTCCGGCAAAAGAATCGAGTCCGTGGTCAAATTGGATGAGTTCTTGCCTAAGCTAGATCAAGTAGATCTGTTGAGTCTTCTCGTCTATTCTCATGTTAGATCGTCTGAGTGACTAATTGTACAGCGATGATATCTAGGCATTCGAATCAGCTCGGTTTCTTGACTGGTCTTCCGGGCACAATCAGAATGCTATTGGTGAACGAGAATCGATTGACCGATTTGGTTTCCTTTGGACATCTTTTGAATCTTGAAAGATTAGACTTGAGCAAGAATGGGTTGACTAGTCTTGAACGTATGTCTCTCATCTCATGACATCATGTCTACTAGATTCTTATGTGTCTGGTTTGTGTGTTTAAGAAATATCTGGATTGAAGCATTTACGTGAATTGAAGGTTGATGATAATGAGATTGTGAGTTTGGAAGGATTGGCAGCTTTGGACGGACTTACAAAGCTGAGTGTAAAAGGTAACAAATTGAAAAACGTTCATCTTGAAGGATTTGCATGGTGAGTTCGCTTTCTTGATTGGAAATGAGTTCTTCACCTGGGTCTAACATACCACCTGAATGGTATAGGCCTCGATTGGAAGTTTTGAATTTGAGTCGGAACCAGATTCGAGAGATAAGTGGCTTGGAAGGGTTGCACTCGATGTATTCTTTAAATCTTGGTTTGTTCTTTTGCTTGATTGTCCCGATTGCCCCTGAACTCTGAAGTGCTGACTTTACGCGACATCCCACAGATCATAATGATTTATATACATTATCTGCACCACAACAATCAATGTTGGGTCTGAGAGTGTTGAGGATATCAGATAACCACATTGAGAGTGTTGATATCTCAGCATTTACGAACCTGAGAACGATTTATGTGGATCATAATGATTTGATTGAGATAAAAGGCGCGGAACGATTAAGGAAATTGGAAAATTTGAGTGCTCGTGATCAACATGGCGGAGAACTGTAAGTAAACTTGATCTCTTTAGGGTTGGTGTGTGTCTTGACTGAGGAAGTCGATATTGTCAGTTCTTTGCCGATGAAACAGTTCAGAGACGTAAAACGGCTTTACCTAGGTGGAAATCCGATCCCAAGTGCTTTTCCATCTCAACGATTCTATAACCTAGTCTACCTCGAATTGGCAATGTGTCAATGCAAGACCTTACCGAGCGATCTAGCCAAGGTGATGCCGAATGTACGAAGTGTGAACTTGAACTATAATTTCTTAACCGACTTGGACGCTTTAGTGGGATTAACTAGACTTCAAAAACTTACAGTCGTAGGATCCAGATTAAAAGAGTTTGGCAGAAGATTAATCAAAGTCTTGGAAAGTTTACCTGAACTTGAATTATTGGATTTAAGGACGAATCCATTCTGTTCATCATTCTATGCACCACTTTTAGCCGAATTAGGAACCAATAAATCACCACATCTGAATCAATATGAGATTATTGCTAGTAGTGCCAATAGTAGTACACCATGTATGCCTAAATCACAACAATGGAATTCGATGGATGAAAGATTTCGAAAAGCATTACCTAATGAATATTATTTAAAAAGAACTACCTATAGAGCCTTGGTGATTGGAACAAATTTAAAATTAAAAGTTTTAGATGGATTATATATTGATGAACCTGAAAGAAAGAAGATGGGTAAGTTTTTAAGAGGATTAGGTAGAAAGATAGAATCCAGTAATCATAACCATCCAAAGAAAGTGGAAAATAATGAAAGTCAAATTCAAGGAATTGAAAAAGTAGAGGAAAAAAGTTGTGTGGGGTTTAGTTCTTTGATTGCTTCTGCTAATGCTCGAGATTGAGGGATAGTTTGGAATGATGTCGTCTTTTAAAGTTTCAATAGATTGATATATAATAGTTCTAAGGACTGGTTTCTGGGAACAAAGTTGATGTTCTCTCTTGATTTCAAATTCCGATGTATAATGTTTTCTTGATATTTCTTATTTCACTTTGGTCTTTCTTTAGTCTTTCTTGTCATTATGATTCATCAAACTTTTTTTTGTTAGGTATTGTAATGATCTAAGATTTCTCATTTAAACTAAAATTAGGATTTGTAAGGGGTTTTTTTGTTTGCTTGTAATCCATTTCACACATTCATTTTTCTTACTAGGTATATAATATAGAAGGAAAAAGAAAGAGACTTCTAAACTCACAATCTTTCGTTATGTTTTTCTTTTTTTTGCTTCAAAGATCAATTGTCCTTCTTTTTGGGTGTTTTATCTCTTCTTGGTTCGTTTCTTATCTTCGTGTCTGTTCTTTCTTTGTATGGGGCTTCTTGCAAAACTAAATGTGTAATACCCAAAAAAAAATCAATTAAACCTTAAAATGAATTTAATAAGTACTTCTTTTGATTGTATCTCTTCAACCAATGTTTTTCTTTTCTTGTGTGTGTTTTGTTGGGAAATGAAGAATTAGGAATCGTTTGATTTGATTTTTGAGAAAAAAAAATGTAAATCTCAGTCTTAGAAGTCTTATAGCTTTTTGATCATCCGATGGATCGGAAGCTTTAAAAATTAAAGATTTCATGTTTTGAAAATAAGTCTTGACTTTCACTTGTTTCAAATTTTTAAAACAAGAATCATTAAATAAATTTACATTGAGAAGATGTTTCTCTTTCTTCTTTTGTGTTTGAGTTTCAAATAAGTTTTTATTGTTGCAAGAGAGATGAAGGAGGATGTAGGAAGCTCTTCAAAGAACATCCTTCAGCTTTCGTACGCTATTGATCAAAATCAGGTTTATTGTTCATACATGACTATATTCGAGGATCTCAACAAATTCTAGATTACCGAGTCCCACTTGCTTCTTGAGCGAGCCAGAGCGAGCCTTACAAGAAACAGGTGGGACTTAGTTAAGTTAAAGCGGACACTTGCGATGATGTCACGTTACAAACCAAGTCTCATAAACACCAGTCTCTTTCCTCAATAAATGATGAGATGATAATTTTTTTGTTAAGTTTAATTGAAAATGAAATTCATACATCAAAGCAATTATCCACACATGATGAATCAAAAATTACACACCAATCACATTATGACCATAGATAAAGAAGAAAACAATTAACGATTCAAGGTTCAAAAAGTATGATGAATTTAACTTACAAACGAAACTTGAAAAGATGCCAAACAAAATGTAAGGGTCGAAAAGAGATGAAAAGCAAAAAATAATAATTCAACCTTCTTCCCAAACCACCACCATCCCTCAAAAACAAAAACGATATGTACACAGGACCATGGAGTCTGGATTATGAACCTTGATATAGGTTTACAGATGATGAAGGACCACTTCCGACAATATTAGAATGATGACTACCAACTGGGACAGTCAGTGCACATAATAGAGCTGAAAAATCAGCTTGAGTTGTACTAGATAAGCTTCTTAATCCATCTGCTAACAATCTCGTGAAACTTGGAGTTACTGCTACAGTTTTCTAATCAAACCAAAACCAAATTACATCGTTAGTCGTCAGCAAGTGGAATCATTTCTGATGAGGTGAAATGTGTTTAGCTTACCCACTATTCATAGAAGGAAATCGTTAAGGCATACCCAAAAAAATATTCGTTGACGTTCATAAATCTCTTTCTTTGGTAAAGAAAAAGGACCGGATGTACATTTGAAGAATAATCTACTTACGTTATTCCTTAAAAAGTCAAAAGTGATTGCTCTGGCTTGATCATATTTACCTACAAAGGAGCTAGCTAATTCTATGCAGACATTATCAATGGTCAAGAACCTGTTGAACTGATTCAAAGCTTCCTGTCTCAGTTCAGGTAATTGTAACACTGTCATTGAATAAACAGAAGATCAGTTTATGAGAAACGTATTCAGAGAGAAAAAGGTAAAGATGGTTCAATAGCTCACTATCCGCTAGGACATACATCGATTTCGGTGAGGTAGGTTGTAGTTCATCCGTACTCAGGGCCAATGAGAATTTGACAGCTTGGTCACGAACGTATACATTCCTCCTGGGTACTAATCCGCGTCCTTTGGCTTCTGCTCTGTCCCGCAACACTTGCCAACTTGACCTCAAAGGGGCAAATGCAATAGAGCTAAACACGTAACAAAGCCCGCCACCGTTGCTCAATATAGTAATCAATTAATATGATAGGAAAGAAAAGCTCACTTGGAGTAGATATATAGCAGCAAGGCACGATAAGTAGTATAAGAAGTAGTGGTGATCACGATTCGATGAATTCCCTTACGAGGTGAACCATCTGGATGATGAGAATTCGTATCAGCCAATTGTGAAATCCTTCGCTTCTTCGATGGTCGATGAACGTTTGCGTTCAATGTACGAGAAGGTGAAGCGTCCGATAGGTTTCCAACATCGGCGAGGGTGAGCTTATGATTTTTTTGTATGTTTGTGAGTTTGTTTTGGGTTTCAAGGACACGTACAGGAGAAAGTGAGTGAGTGGAACCAAAGCAAAGTTGAGGAAATTGAAGAGTCCGAGATAGCAGGATAAGGAACAGAGAGAGACAAATCGAGTACAGATGAGCTCAAGGTGAAAAGCCACATAAGGATGATTTGTTCAAGACGAGGGGAAGGTATCATTTGGATTTATGATATCATTTTAGGCTTTTGTACATCACAACCCTCCGTTTCTGTTCGTGCGTGCGAAGGATTATAATTTCTAGAAAAAGATTCTACAAGAAGATGACCAGAAAGTAAAAGTTTGAGGAAAAGAGTGATGACTCACATGATCAGCAGCCTGTTGAACGCCTCTTACCGATTCTTCAAGTTCATCCAATTCAAAATCCGAATCGTCTTCATCGTATGCACAGTTTTCACTTTCGAGGATTCCACTTTCCCCCATGAGTGAATCTTCAGCCATGAGCGTCATATCCGGTAAATCCTCGAGTAGAGGGCTAGATGGTTCAGTCTTGATAAAATCTGGATCGGTCTTGATACCCCCATTTGGCAGTGATGGAGACATCGACATCTCATCCATCTCGATTGAATCCGCTTGACTCAGGGCGTCTGCACTTTCTAGAAATCCTGACTCGAACACTAGAGAGCAAAAGAGATAGTTGAGATAGTGTTCTTGCTGTCTATGTACCATATAGAAGATCGTGATAAGGATCACTCAACTTGTATTGAAGTAAGGTACTGATCGAATGATATACTTTTGAGCATATATTGTTCGAATTCCACGTTTGCTCCCTTTCTGCTTCGGAAATACGAAACAAACATCCGAACAATCTGGATCATCAAATAGTCCCGAAAATCGTGCTGAACAACCTGCGAAGCGTGTGATATCGCCAAAGGGTGAAGGTTCTAAATTTCAAAAACGAGCATGATTAGATTTATGTTTCCACATGGAATGCCATTCATAATTGATGAGATGAAGACTGACCCGTTGTTCGCCTCCGTTCGGTGAGAGTAACTTGCACAAATAATGCTTGCTAATTTCCTCAAGAAGCAGGAGCATTGATAATCAATAGACCACTCTCAAACCTTGCAGCTTGAGTGGGTAAATTGCTAACCTCGAGAAGAAATCCTTGATCCTGAAAGAGCTTGTCTAGCTTTATGTATTTGGCTTGTCCTCTTCGACTTTCTAATCCAGAATTGAAAGTATATCCACCTGAGATGTTTTTGTCCTTGCCATAGGTACCAGGTTTACTGGGAGTCCCAAGCTAAGGCAAAAAGTCGAGATTAAAAAGATGAGTAAGGCTGTAAAAGTCAAGGATGACTCACAGTCGCTGTACATGTCTCACAACGTCTGACCCATGTCTTGGATGTCCGTAGTTCAGTATCTTGAGCTGCACCTAGAAAGACGCCCAAATAACCTTTTATTGAGTGAAATAAATCGGTATCAGATAAGGAGATTGGTTTAAAATCATGGAAAGTAAGGGCAATGAGGATAGATGCGAACCAGGTGTTTTGGCTATTGTACCAACTGAGATTTGCCACCGGTTATCACCAAAAGGTTTAGAGAGTAACTTGACTGGAGAAGTCTCGAGAAGTTCCTTTGTGCAATTTGGAAATGTCCATTCGAATTTATACTTTTGGGTTTTCAGATGATAATCAGTTCTAAAGATAAGCTGTAGCAAGGACAAAAACAAGGTCGGAGAACAAACTAACATCGGCTTTCCAATACTCCACACCTGGTTCTTCGAACCAATCCGTCGTAGAAGACATCTGAATCGAATTCTTGAACTTATGACGAGTGTAGTGGGTAGGAATTGGATCGTTGGCTACGTTTATGTTCGAGTCCAATCGAGGTTTTTGGGATGATTAAGTGTGTTGAATGGGGAGTTTCTTGAGGAGGTAAAGAGGAGTCTAACTTATGAACAATCTAACAAAGACTTGGTCAACAAATATGAATGAAGAGTGTACAATTCAATCAATCGCATTCAAAGGTAAAGTGATTTTGCACATGTAGCATATATATACATACACAACCAGTGACATGTCTAATCAAGGCTTTCCGTGATTTCAAATCCATTGATAATCCCTCAGAATCCCTCTGAGTCTCATTCTCACTCTTCTCATCGAGCTCTGAAACAAATCTTGAATGACTTCTCTTGATATCCCATCATCACTTACGTTGATCACACACATCTGCCCGGTTTGTTGGAAGTCCCTCTGACACGTACCTCACAGATTATGGGGTATCTATCGGGCGGCTCCGGATGATGTGGCCTTTGGGCGGAGGAGTTTGAATGCCTTTATTGCGTAAACTTGCAAAAAAAGTGGCAAAATGAGAGCTCCATAATATTTATCAAGGTAGATCCTAGCTATATCATGTCACAGGGTGAAAAAGTCTTTCTCTTGGAAAATTCTCTTCACCCAATCATCTTATCTGCAAAGATCCTTTGTGAGGTGATGATGCGCTCAAAACTTCCTCATCTGCTGATGATACAAGAACATCTAGCTAGATTCAGCACTGGATCTTGAACTCCTCAAGTGGTTCCAGGAGGCAGATCTGTCAGGGAGATAGGAGAACCAAGCATCAACCATACTGGGTAGAAAAGAAAGCAATACTGTGATGAGAAGATATGGATGCAAGTCCAGCTTGAAGTCGCCTCACGTACACCTTGGCCTTCACCAGGAAATGAATATAAAAAACAAAAAACAAGACTTCAAGTCCTCCAGACATAAGTCTCGGAGGGCTACTGTGATTTCAATAGCTTATGAGGAAGGGACTTGGCTGGATTAGTACAAAGGTTCAATCATGATAAAAAGTTTTTAAGCTTATTAAATATCTCTCAAGCTGCATATACATACCTGAAAATAAATCCTACCTTTCAAGCTTATCAAAGCTTCAACCAAATGGTGCATCTTTTTTTAAAGAAAAAGTGCTGAGTTGCTGAATCACATATTAAACGATCTAAACAAGTTAATTGAGTAGGTACTAGGACACCTGGACCAAGCAGCCATCTAGTCAAAACCCAGAGTTTGTGTTGTCTTTTTATCCTTTAAACAGTTTTCGATTTTCTTTTTCTTTTTTTGTTTCATTTTGGCACAATAACCATCATCTTATTAATTTTCTTACAACTCTTTTATTCAAGGAAAGATAAGAACTTTATTGACACTGTCAGGTGTGTGATTGGTTGGTGATTGTTGACCAATCTCGGCTATGTTCTTTTTTTTTGAATGACCAATGAAGAGGTTATTCAGTGACAATTCCTTTGGTGTAAACTCTTCCCCATCTAAGGTGGAAGGTAGAGCCTCTGTGTGCATGAAGCTTTGGGGTTTTTTACCAATCACAACCTTACTCTTATACAGCCGTTTCAAGAAAGGTTGACAACTTTTTTTGGAGAAAGTTGTCTCCGCAGCGGGTAAAACCAGAGACAAAACTTGATTTACAGGTTTATTCTTTTCTGTATTCTTCCAAATAGCCGAGAGACAAAATCGGGTGAGGGACAAAACAGGACAAAACCCGGGTTTTGCACATTGGCGAGATTTTCAAAAAAAAATCAATCTTTGTTGAAACAGCTGTACTACCTTTGCTAAAAAGGTTGACCGGGTCGACCGCGAAGGAGAAGAGAAGAGCTGCCAAATTTGGCCGCAGCCTGCTGCGCAGCGCATCCAAATTCCAATTTCGCTCGATTCAAAAAATGATCAGGTTGTCAAAACACTCAACGTGACCTGGTGGTTATGGTAGATACCGAGACTGGTCACGACCGATACTCAGTTGATTTAGATTATGACAAAGTCGCGCCAACAGCTGTCTTTTGCGACTTGTTTCGATTTGATCGATATCTTGCCAAATAAGAGAAACAAAAATTGCTGTGGACTAATAGTATAAAGTACCGGCTGCTACAAGCTGTCGAGATTGGGTACAGCTGTTTGTGGGTTCAATCCCCATGGTGTTGCCCTTTTGCTGAAATTTTGAAGTAAAATTGAGAAGTACATCTCAGAGATGTGTCAGTGCCATCATTGTTACATGATGACCCTCTTTGAGCTTTTTGGGGGTAAGGAAAAAAAAAGTTTTTAAAAGACTTGTGCTTTTTTTGTATCATGAGGTAAAACCATCCAAGCTCAAAAAAAACATGAACGCGACTCGAACACACGCCGAGCTGTGCATCACATCTGGGCAGATGTCACACCTTACACCACGTGCATACAGCTGTCGCAGCATTTGTTACTACGCGCTGACGTATACAGTGTTCCTCGGTTTGCGACAGCTGTGGGAAGTTTTGCGACAGCTGTGAGTTTTTTGCGACAGCATTGCAATTTGTGCGATAGGGTGTCGCACGGGCTGTTGCATACACTCTCATCCCTTCTCTCTGCTCGCACGACTATCAATAAAGTCCATGGCCTTATTCATGAAGGTCACAAAGAGGAAGAATACCTTGGGTTTCTCAAAACACAAACCAATCGATACACGGAATTCCTTTCAACATTAAGAAACTGATTGATATTCTCAAGTTTTTCAAGCACAAAATATCAACTGATACCCGGTTTCTTGTGATATTCATATACACTATTACCTTCTCCACTTCTTGAAGTGGTTTCATTTTTCAAGTGTCACATAACAAACTCATACACAGTCAATTAATTGGATTTTATGATGTCAAGTAAAGTGAATCGCTGTTTGCTTTCCTCGCATTGTTCCTAAAATGTTGAGATTTTTGCTTTGGTCTTCATTTGTAGTAGTACTTGTTCTTATGTATGTCTAAAAAATAGAAATGAATCATGATCGATTAGATTTGTTTTCATTTGTCAATTTCTATCGTTATCTTCAGAGTATTTCTCAATCAAAGTTGTCTTCTATGTGAAGATTGTAGTGTTTTAAAATTGATCATAACTTTATTGTGATAATGACTGGTATCACTTTTTGAATATTTCATTCGATTCGATGCAATCATCAGATGTCCATCGAGCGTATAAAATCGGTCTCATATCTGTATTGATCCTTTCATTTTGATGTTGTTTTTGATACAAAAGAGAAGGACCTGTGGAAAGACTTTAATTTGGCCTCCATGTGTATCAACTCAAATATATTATCTTTACAACAAGATTTGGTCAAAAAAGTAGACATTGAATCAAAGGAGACTTTCAGAGGTATCACGGACAAAGGGCAAGAGGAGTCTTTGTCTTGACACTTGATCTTTTCTGGCAGAGATACCCCAATGTATCTAGGTAACACCGGACCTTTATGTTGATTTGTACTCCCTTCTTTAACTGATTCTTCAGAGGAGCGAGTTACAAATATGGACCATAACATTCCATCACTCACTTTGTGTGCTATGTCCTTCACATACATCTTTGACCAAGTGTGTTGACCAGATCAACACTTCAGAGGCTAGCCCCATCGTGATCCGAACAGAACTTGCTTAAGACATCAACTTTGTCTCCATTGTTTAACGCAAAGGGACAAAAATTGTACAAAACTTGTAAAAGTAACAAATTCCACTGCCTCTGTGATCATGCAGGCAAAGTCTTAGAATGGAGACTCGGGGGCATTGCCATATTGGTCGCATGGGGTGTTGTCTGCTAGGGAATACATTGGGTTCTTGTTCTCGTATGTAGCTGTCTGCTCTTGTCTTTGACTTCATGTTCTCACAATCTCTGGGCCCTTCATCTTGTTTTGGTAGCTCTCCCTCTTCATTTTCTTGATCCACTTCTGGGATTCATGTTTATCTGTCTTTTGACTCTTTTAAATGGGTTTTGATGTTTTCATTTTGAGTGATAGCAAAATCAATCAGGGGAACATACATAAACTTTGCAACCCAGTATTAGGATGCAAAAGAGGTTTAAGGTTGTTACTGCTAGCACATTTCATAGGATTATCCATTTCAATCATTTTTGTTGTTTCTGTTGCCTTGTATGTGAAGTCGTTTGACCACGTTAGAGTATCTTTCATTTGAGTTGTATCCTCCATTGTACCTAAGCTCATGACTCATATGGGGATATTGGCGCGAGATTGACCATTGAGCAGAAATGAGCGGAGAGAGGGGATGAGCGCCGAGTGCCAAAGACTTGTATGCAACAGCCCGTGCGACACCCTATCGCACAAATCGCGACGCTGTCGCAAAAAACTCACAGCTGTCGCAAAACTTCCCACAGCTGTTGCAAACCGAGGAACACTGTATACGTCAGCGCGTAGTAACAAATGCTGCGACAGCTGTATGCACGTGGTGTTACTGTTTGCACCAAGAAAGCTTGGATGATATAACGTCCAACACCATCTCATTCCGGTCGCAAGTCGGCTGTCTGCACAATCTCAACGTAATGAGCTTAATACTGATTGTAACTAATCTCAATAGTTGCCATGAGACAGTCACATCAATTTTTTTGACAACTCGATCATTTTTTGAATCGAGCGAAATTGGAATTTGGATGCGCTGCGCAGCAGGCTGCGGCCAAATTTGGCAGCTCTTCTCTTCTCCTTCGCGGTCGACCCGGTCAACCTTTTTAGCAAAGGTAGTAACAACTAACATCAGCGTAGTATCCTACCCACTTGTCTCCCAATCTAAGGAAGGTGGTGGGAGCTTTATACATGTAACAGGATCTGCTGGATTCAAATTATGACAGTGAAATCTGCTTAGCCATCCACTCACTCCCCAATCTAACACCATGTAAATATCCTTGTAGCATGTCAATGTGCACACACACAAAAGACTTTTCTTAGACCCTGTAAAGAACCATCAAAGAGGTGCCACAACAGGTGCATCTTCCCCTTATCAACTGTGACCTAGAAAGTCAGTGGACCCCAGCTGATGACAGAGGATTCTACAAATACTATGAATAAACCACTATTCACAAAGAGCGCTCAACAACAATCTCAGTCTAAATCCAACCAAAAGACTTTGAGATTTGTTTCAAAACTCTCTGTGTGTGCACATTGACGTGCTACACGAATATTGACACGGTGTACGGAAGGAGGTGGTGTTTTGTAGAGTATGTTGTTGAATGATTGATAGTAATTTAGTTTAAACTTGAGTTTGTTTGAAAAGGAATTCCAAATGTAGGAGTTTGTTTTGATCCCTTTGTCTTTGATTCTTGTTCTCATTGGTTTTCTGGCCTTTGAGTAGCTTCTGCAATAAAGTAAAAAGTGGTGAGTGTTTTTTTAAGTCAGTCCGCATGTATCACAGCAAGAGGAACTTGTTGGTTTTTTTTGAGTAGGTGAGTTTTAAGTGGGCTGTTTTGGGCTCTGAGCTGGAAAATAGCAGCCACATGCCCTTTCTCAAAGCTTTCTAGTGAGTTAGCTATGATCAGTTTGTTCTTTGTCTTGAATGGTTGTTTAGAAATTACCAGGTTCAAATGACAGAACTATAATGTTAAAATTATCTTTCTCATGTTTTCAAAACTTGCTAAGCAGGTAGGAAGAGTTATAGCTTAATCAGGTTTAGAAGATGCTTTGCTGGCTACAATCTAGAGTGTCAGCTTTCTTGACTAAGTCAATTCCCATGTGGCCTGGAGTCCAGGACAGTAAAATTGGTGTCTGGTGGAAGTTGGTTGATCTGGTATCAAATCTTGATAATTTTTTTCTATTTCAGTCTGTGTCGGGTTTTTAGAACCAGTGTCCCTTTTTAGTCTTTTTGTGTACCTTTTTCTCTCATGCAGGCTAATAAGACTAATTGCCTTCTTGGCAGTCAAGCGTAAAAACCTAGCTGCTGATCAGCCCAGAAGCCCAGAACCATTCCATTATGTTGGAATTGTTTGAAATCCTGTTGAAGTCTTGTTGAAGTTGTGATAGTCTCTGGCCTACCAGTGACTAGTAGCTGGGGGCTTTGAGTAGGGCTGTGACCCAGTCGTGAGTGTGACAGGGCCACCCCAAGACTTTTCCTGGCCTCAGGTAGACCAAAGTACCTCTCAGAAACTATTAGGGCTGGCCAGGACATGTCAGGGTGGAAAAATGCAGGGCATTATTGCAGTTTAATAAGGGTTTGAGTCCTTCAAAATAACATCTACCAACATCATTGTGAGATATTTTTGGCAGAAGAAGGGACAGTATCCTGGCCGGGTCAGCCTTCCAACCCACCTGAAAGGCCATTTTTAACTGACATAAAGTTAGTTTTAAATGCCCTGGGGCCCATACTGTCACCTCTGTGGATGTCTTCAGGCAAAGTCAGGTGGCCAGGGTTGGGTGTGGGTCACGGCCCAACCTTCTAGTGGAGGTTATTATAGCCACCCTGACACATAGCATTAGCCGGTCTCAAGCCAAACCCGGTTGGCGAAAAACCTGGTACACCTGGTTGTCTTTTTGGCTGGGAGGTGTCAAAAATGTCAACTCAATACACAAAGTTACCACCAAAAAAGCAACTGGGTGTACTGGGTTTTTTGGCAATTGGGGTTGCTTTGAGACCGGCTATTGACTGCAAAATTGACCTGGGCCTACATGGGCACCTTGAATACATAATCATCCAAATATCCTAGCAACCTAAGCATGGCTTTTTTTCACACTGACATAAAATATTTCATTAATCTAGGGGATAGAAGTCATAAAAAAATTGATCACATCTGATTAGCTTCAAGAATACATTTTTAAACAAACAGGTAGATGAGAAGAAAAGATTGTCCAAAACAAGATGGAAATAAGGTTGTATAAGATGTCAACATGTGCTATCTGAAAAAAAACAAAATGGTCCTATAAAACCCAAATTATCTTGTATAATCAATCCAAAGAATAAACGAAATGTGAAGAAATGAGATATGAAAGTTTCATTTTGTAGATAAAAGATTAGATCTACGAAATTGTAAAGTAGAATTGATCTTGTTGATTTGATCCATGAGCCAAAACTTCTCCCAAATTTGATCTAAACTAGATTTATTGGATCCGTATACATAATTGATCAAGACTTGATGAAAGCTTCGACTGCGAAATGGATTCAAATCGGCGGTTGAGAATAATCTATTAGTTTGGTGATAAAACCCGATCCAAATCATACTAATTGAAGCTCCATAAAGCAAACCACAACAAATCTGTAGAGTAGTATGATGGGCTACCAGATTTGAATATGATATTTCGCAAAAAATATGTCAATCAAGGGGTCAATAAAAAGTCATAACATGATGGATGAGATTTCAATACAATTCAAAAGATGACTTACATAAATAGTATCTAGACCAACAAACTGAACTTGCCACAAGACAAACGACAATGACGACAGTAGAAGTCAAAATTGATACCGCTTCATCGCTGAGTGAAAATCCGCCAAGATGTGTTGAATTACAATGAAACGCTATACCATTAGCTAATTGGCCTGAGGCTCCACTGAAGAGAGTGTAAAGAGCAATATAGGTGACTGTAGACGAATGAGCGGATGGCATCCCATAACCTAAATATTCAGGAACATAAACAGATCATTAGAAAAACCGTCAGTTATCTCGGTCTTCTTGGAGTGTTTGGTGAGGGAAATACTGGAGTGATTGAAGTAGAATTCGGAAGAAACTTTAAATTCATGCAGAAACTTAACTACTTTTATTCGATCCGATTGGACGACTTTGACGTAACAAAGTTTGTAACGCTTTTGCTCCAAATCCACAGACATACATCCCAATTGTAAAGTACAAAATCGACATTGACCTAGTCAGAATGAGTAAAGATGTAGTAATGAAAATCGCGATAGTTAAGATCTACCAGAGAAACAATCGCAATTTGGTTCGATCAGGATTGCAAACATAAAAAAATGGTAAGAAGTTTGGTCAAAATTGTTGTAGTTCAATGAGAAAGAAGGTTCAGAAATCGCAAATTGATTAGCACAGATTGATGGATGGGTCAATTCACTTACATTTTCTAAACAACATATGGGTATCTCCTTGATTGAATTAAATTGCAAAGTTTCGGACTTCATTTGGAATTGTTTCAATGAAGTTGATTGAGTAGAGATAAAAAAATGATTAAATATTTGTTTAAAGCGAGCGGAAGACATTAAGTTTGAAATTCGAATTAAGATGTATGATTAATTTTGAAGACTATGAGTGCAGCACAAATTAATCAAATTCTGCTCCACAGACTGGTGTCCGAGGGTGGGGGTTTTATGAAGCAAGTGTTGACCTGTGTTGACAAGCAAAATGAATTCTTTCAGTAAGTATCTTAATGAAATTCTTGGGATTGTTGTTTGTTATGACTAGATAGAGTGTGAGGTTGTTATCTCCTGTAGGGCAATTCGAAAGATTTTATATATAAAATCGAACATATAAAAGACTACCAAGGTGCCGAGGGGAGAGAGTGATAGGAGTGCAGGAATACCAGGTTATAAAGAAAACTCACGAACGCATAGTGATTCCATCACACTCTCCGTCCTACAATCAACTAGAAACAGATTGAATAACAAAAAAGGGGGGCGGGGAATTAGAATTTCCCACATATAATCAGTATAAAGCACAATTCTATCACGAGTTGAAGTCTTTCATTCAGTTTGATGAGAGCTGTGAATCCGATCAAGATGAGAGTTTCATGAAAAAGTTGAAAATTGTGGTACATATCTCAATCAAGAGAAAAAGTAACAAATTAACTTTCATGTTCTTCTGATTCGGGTTGATTCCAAATCGTATATCAAACCCATTTGTCTTGCCTCCTTTCTGAAAGAAATCAAGAAATTAAGAAAAACCCCATTCCCTCGAAATTCATTTAAATAGAAGAGATGTGATTGGGTTTATGTTTGATTGATTGATTTCCTGAGTAATTCAACACAACTTTAACCACATTTATTTTCATATATATATGTACAAATTCTCAAGTTGAATGTTATAAGCAATGAAAAAAGCCTCCATTGATTCTGTACATTTGATTTCTATATTTCGTTTTTTGGGAGCATTCGCAATCACAGTTGAGTTCAGAATATTTAATGATTTAACGGAGAAGTGAGTAACCATGTAAGTAGCACGGTGGCTGTGATTTAGAGAAAGGAATGGCGGTCGGAGTTTGAGCGCATAAACCTAAATGAAGAAAATCAAGTTGATCCAATGAGGCAAACGTAACTAAGTCCCACTCGCTTCAGCCGGGGCTTTGGCGAGGAGGGACTTATGTATAGTGAAGTTCGCAATTGAGATCGAAAATCGACTTTCAGTGGAGAAAGGGTTTTTTGAAGAATAAATTCAATTTTAAAATATCAATGGTCGAACGTATGAAAGCGATTTCATCTTAGGAGATTCTTTACAATAAGTAGTGATAAACCAAATGTAGACCTTGGTATCTTCAAATTCATCTCTAGGAGGAGGGAGAGAGAAGAGGGAGCTTTATTTCACAATTTATCATCGACCCCCTTTCTCATCCTTCTACTTGAGATTTACAACCCGTCCAAGATTCGAGTGGGAGAAGGATTTTACCTTCTTTCGGCCCGGGAGCGTGGCAAATTTCGGGGTATCAGCGAAAATCACTCTGAAGATGTGGGCGTGGTCTAACTTTCGACAGCTGTTATTCTTAGTTTGAATGACAGCTGCCGAGGCATCGAGGGACTTTGTGGGGCACGGTGCGAAAAACAAAGTTCCGGATTGGCGTGCGCGTTGTCCGAAGCTCAACCAAGTGAGCGTGTTCCGAACTGTTCCGAACCCAGGGAGCAATTTCTCAATTTCCACAAACAAGCTACAATCGGCCTAACACAAGCCTCGTCAACCGCGGTTCCGGAGGAGGGCGGGAGGAGGAAGGGGCACAAGTCAGGATATCTACAATGTAATCATTGCTTTTGTTTGAAAGTACTTGTTCTGTTTCATTTGCCGGAGACTGAGCGACAACCCGATTCTTGGGGGTTGGAACTGGCCTTGACAGACGGGAATGTTAGTAGGCGGATGTAAGGTTTATGTAGTTGTTGGTACGAAATGATGAAGAAGAGATTTTAAAAAGACGCACCGAAAGGATTCCAATCTGACATGATGTGTACCACAGCACTAGGGAAGACTTTCGTCCTCTAGCAAATTATCACATTGGTTTGTTTCATCCATTTTGTGATCAACGAAATTATTATCCTATACAAATTCTCTTAGTACATAAAATTAGTGATAAAGAGTTTTGTTATCCACTTGGGTGACAAGGGTATAATTTGATTTCTAAAATTCCTCATATCTTTCAAACTTAACAAAGTCCCTCACCAAAGGCCCAAGCCCCAGCAAGGGACTTGCCACATAAAAGGGAATCCTGGCATGAGAAGTAGCCTGTATTGGCTCAAGAAACATTACTTCAAATTCTGTGGTTTGTCTCTAAATAAACAGGGCTTGGAGTTAAATAAAAGGAAGACATCAAATATTCATTACATACAATCCAATTGCAAGCTCCCCCAAATATTGTCCAGAACTAGGGCTACTGAGGGATCAACAATGGTTTGTTTTTCACTTTTTCTGAGCGGCAAGCCCGCTCATAGCTGCTATCTCTCAGAAAGCGGTGAAAATGATTGATCTTCAACTACTCAAAAATATAACTTTCCAGCAAGATAGAAAGTAGCTTGCAATTGGTATGTATGTAATGCCCCCTTGTTGTTTTCTATTTCCTTTGTCTCAAAGGATGTTTATTGAGAGCGGGAAACAACAAACAGTGTGGTGATCAATTTATGGGATCAATTAAAAAATTCACAATTAGCAGTTTACCAGTTTATTAGCAGGATTCAGCAGGAAAGAAAATTCAAAATGAGGGTTTTTAGATCAATTGAAGCTCTTGTAGGCTTATGTATTGGTCATTAGGTTAAAATTACATCATTTTATTTCACATTATTCATTAAGATCATTATAGTTTACTTACAAACTCATTACAAAAAGAAAGAAAGAAAAACATAAGAAAAATTCGAAATTATAGGTATATAGGTTGGAAAATGGTTTTTAGGTTAGTAAAAATAAAGTTATGGGTATTATGAGGTTAGAATATGAAAGAACAACATTATATGATACTATGACAATTTTAATCTTCAAGGTTGATAAGTAGAAACAGAAGTTATTAGGAAAAAAGCACTTTTTCGAAGTTGGTAAACAAGAGGTACACGTGTAGTTTGGTTGTGTAATAGTGGTAGTGATGGAATTTAAGGTTGCCAAGAGGATTTTCCGGGATTTTTAAGGCTATAGATGATGATGTCATATTACATGAGCAAGAAAAAGATAGTAGTAGCTGTGAAAAGTGAAGAAAATGGGTGAAATTCGTGGAAAATGGAGGTTTTCAGCTAATTACATATGTCAAATGACGTCAGAATAGGTTGGTAGATGGCTCATTCAACGCAGAAGAGTGGATTACATAATGTACAAACTTTAAATCATTAGTAACGGAGGTGTGTGTAAAAGGCTATAAGGCAAATAAAGAATTGGTGTGAATCTCGAATTTACAGTCACAAGTCATATGTAACACTAAAAACCTTAACTTCACAACTCAATATCTTACTCATCACTCATCAGAAGTAGGTCATATAGGTGTCAGAAATGATCAGTAACACGTGGGCTACAAGACGCACTTTAGTAATCAAAAATTGGAGCACATCTGAAAAAATTCGTAATCTCAAAAATTGGTTTTCAGTCAGTTTACAAGGAAAAAATCACCTGTAATCATCATAAGAAGTGCTGTACATCATATTATTGCGTCATTGATCACTTTTTGCTGTGAAAATTACATCATTTATTAGTAACAAAATCATTACATTGCGTCATCATAGGGTTTTTAGGGAATTTTGGGCGGATTTGATTGGTTTTGAGGTTGTTGACCATTGTAAAAGTTGTAGTACATTGTTATATATACTTTGAGAGGGTTTTGGGACTGTTGTTCCCCTTTTTTCTTTATCATTTACACCATTATTATTTTGCTTATCATCATAAAATTATTTTAATAGTACCTGGTCACTTAAATACGCCCTTTATTACAGCTATAAAGAGAAATTTACTTTAGTTTTATAGTCATAAAGACTTATTGGGAATAATATCAATCAGATATTGCTTATTTTCTTTATTTATCAATTGGGGATAACACTATAGCAGTGTTGATAGTAATACAAAGTGTGTTTTTTTGAAGTTAAAATACGTGTGAAGATATATTTCTCTGGTGCCTTATCTGTACTCAATACAACAGAGTCTTTTCCTGATTGTGTTGTTTTAGAAGAGCAGTCTCAGACAACTTCTACTAGTCCTTATATTAGTAGATTGTCCTCTTCCAGCTCTGTATAACCCTTGTTGGGTTATAAGTTCTACAACGGATGTAGAGAATCTGGAGCAAATACAGCTCACTTCTCATACCAGGATTCTGTTTGATGTGGTAAGTCCCTTGCTGGGGCTTGGGCTTTTGGCAAGGGACTTTGTTAAGTTTGCATATCTTTTACAATTCTTGGTGAAAGCACTCAATTTTACTTCATTAGAAAGCTAAGGGCCCATTGTGGTAATCAATTTATATGGTCAATTGAGAAAAATTAAAAAAGCTTATTATTATTAGAAGAAGTGAAGTTTTTAGAGCAAAATCAGGTTTTTTTCATATATTTTGATTGCAGTGTTCATTGATTATAAATCAATCTTGTGTAATCATTATTTTTTTACATTGAATCTAATCAATTTAAAACAAGTTAAACATTATTAGAAAGAAGAAAGAAAAAGAAAGATATAAGAAATTCAAAGATATAGGTGAAAAGATTGGAAAATGGTTTTCAGGTTATTATTGTGGGAGTTATAGGTTCAAGAAGGTTTGATTCTGAAAGAGGAAGGTCACTTTGGTCATTAGCAACTTTGATAATTGGAAATGAGAAGGGAGGAGAAGAGTTATTCAATAAAGGGTGAATTTCAAGGAATGGTACTATGGGATTAACTTTTGTGGAGCAATGTCATTGAGGAACTTATGGCACCAAGAGTTTTTCAGATTGATTGTATAGTTATTCTTTAGAATGGATTGATCCAAGCTGATCTTTTGATCGAAGGAAAATTGATATCAGATGAGAAAAGTGGGAAAATGGAGGCAACACTCATGTCGCACTGCTCCGCTCCGGTATAATTGCACTTTTTACGAGTGGAGCAGATTTCTGCTGTGTAGAAAGGTGCTATCAGAACTTCATTGCTATGAAATCTCAGAGTGGTGGGGCAGAAAGAATCTCTCTGCTCCGTCATTGGAAATATATCTTGGCCTTTGCAGTGATCCAAAGTGAGGCACACAAGGTTTCTGTGTTTTGACACCCAATTGGATTGCATAACACACTATCTGAGGCTGAGGGGAGGTTCTAAAGCAAGAGCAATGAGAAAAGGACTTTTTTTTGATTTGCTGAAATTTTCAAAAGAAAACATAATAATAAAACGGAGAGTAAAAAGTAATGGGTTTTTAGGAAAAAAGACAACAATTGCCAGGTGGGTAAAAAGTAACTGGTTTGGAGAACAAAGGTAAATTTTCTTTTGATTTAAAAGAGGAAAACTTGTGAAAGTCTTCACATCACATGGAGGATAAACTATTTGAGACAGTTTGGGAGGATTTGATGAATCATGAGGAAAATGTGGTCGCAGTAGTTTATCTACATGAGTTTTAGTCCATGTAGAATTCACCATTAGATAATCAGCTTGTTTTAAACAAACTGAATACACTTCAGCCAAAAGGAAAAATACCTTTTGGTTCCCCATGCCCCCGAACCAAACCAAAAAAACAAAACTAAACAGTTAGCTCTTCATTCTTTTAAAATCAGATTAATATATGTGGAAAAGGAAAAAAACATACAACACTTTAAAATAAGATAGAAAGGAATACTTTAACATAAGATAAAAAGGAACTAGAAGAGATTGAAGTTGAATTCTGATAAGACAAATTTCAATCAGTCACTCTTTTTAACATATTTGTATAGTGCTTATCCCTGAAATCAAGGAAATCTAATCAGATCTCCAAAACCTATCCCCTTTGCCAAAACTCACCTTTTTTGAACTCCACAAGTTGCTTTGGTAGTGTGAGATTGAGGACTCTGTGTCCATGGCTTTTTGGAACAATCCATAGTTTTTTCTTGCTTTTCAAATACCTATCTTTAGAGCACAACCCTGTTCTACATTTCCTTCTCTTCAGTGATAAGCACTATACTGATCATCAGATAATGTACATATGTGTTTCTCTTGAAAATTTTGATGAGTTGAATTTGAATGATCAATAGATTGATTAATAAGTTCAATATGTTTGTAAAACAAGTAAGAAGTAAACAAGTTTTTTGGGTTTATTGTTACAACTACTAGTGTAACTCCTTTGCATTATCAGGTGCTTTTTTGGGCCATGAGACACTTTTTTGCGTCATCAGGTGCCATTTTTCTATAAGTGCCTGTGGCGCTATGGGGCCTCATAGCACAGCAAAGATTTGCTATACAGTGCGGGTATAAAAACCACTATTTGAGCTGAGGTAGTACAATAGCTATAGCATAGCTCAAACACCACTATACACCAAAATTGATAGCGCAAGTAAAGCGTGCGCTGCGCTATTGCTCTGCTGCCGCTTTTCTGGGTGGAGCGCTGTGGGTGTTGATGGAGGTTTTCAGCTAATTACATATGTTGAAATTTGTCAGATCAGGATGAGTGATAGCTCAATCAAGGCAAAATCATTCAATTCATAATGTAAAACCTTTGAATCATCAGTAAGAGAGGATTAGTGAAAAAGGTATAAGGAAACAAAGCAAATTGAGTGAATTTCAAATTTGGTGCTTACATACATGTAAAATATTATTTTCTCAATCTCTACATAACTTATTCATCACACATCAGAAATAGGTCATATTGGGGTGATACATGATCAGTATCTCAAGGGCTACAAAATGAGCTACAGTAATTCAGAATTGGACAACTTTACAAAAACCCGTAATTCCAAAAATGGGTTTCAGCTATGAATATTAGGAAAAAATCACCTGTGTTCATCATAAGAAGATCCGTTCATCCTTTATACACCTCAATGGATCAATTTCACAGCTTGAATCATGACAAATAATATTAGTAATGTCATCATAAGGTTACATTGAAGGGATTTTGATGGTTTTTGATGGTTTTGAGGTTGGTAATCATTGTTTTGGTGTTATATATTCTCAAATGGAGGATTTGGGTGTTGTTGTTCCTCTTTTTTCTTTATCATTTTGTTTATCATCATAAACCTACCTTAATAGTACCTGGTCACTTAAATACGCACTTTATTATAGCTATAAAGAGAAATTTACTTTAGTGTTGTAGTGTTTTGACCAAGGAATTCTATTGGGAATAATATCAAAAAGATATTGCATTAATTTTCTTTAGTTATCAGTCTGGAATACCACTATAAGTGTTGAGAGTTAATTCAAATTGTGTTTTACATCTTGAAAACCGTGCTTTTGGTCCTTGGAACATTAAATCAGTTACTTTCCTCTTTTGATAATCATCAGTACTCAATTAAACATAGTTTCCTTGTTTGATTGTCTTGTTTTAGGAGGGCAGTCCGTAGACATATTCTACTAGTCTTTATTTGGTAGATTATCCCCTCCACGCTCTGTATAACCCTTGTTGGGTTATGAGTTTCACACTGTTCAACTGGTTTGACAGGAAAGTGTTACACAAAAACACTGTTTCATCCTGCCCCTTTTTCAAGGGGCATAATGAAAAACTTGGAATTTGGCTTTTTGATTACCAAACAGTGAACCAAAAAGCTCTTCAAAAGATCAAGATGATTTTCTTTGACCTTTTGATGACCGGTCAAGTGTCTTGTGACAATCACCATGACCGTTTTCATGTGGCACGTCGACATGCACACACAAAGAGTTTTGAAAGAAATTTGATTGTTTTTTGTTTGTATCAAAATAGTGTCCAGGACTTCTAAGTTCATGGACCCAGTTATGTATGTGTGTTGTAAGACTCTTTGCATATCCCCAATCTTCCTTGTCCAATCAACTACCACCACATCATCCAAGTCCCTCTCACCTCTTTCACCAATATCACATTCAAAATTAGCCCAACACACTGACAATCTCCTCATCCTCAGCTTACTCAATCCAAACCTCCACATTCATTTGCTTAAGGATGATCAATTCCGACTTTTCAAATTCAGCTCCAAAGGAGAACGTATCAGGAAATGGACCATGAAAAATAGCCTAAGAATCTTTGGACAACCCTTAAACAAATGTATGTTCACTTTCAAACATCATAAATGTTCCCTATCAACAATTTTGATTGCTTGCACTGAAACATCATACTTATGAGTACATAGATCAATTCAAATCAATGACAATTGATTCAAATCAATAGTAATTGATTCATAAAATGTATATCATCAAGGACCAAAGAGAATTCAAACTTCAAGCTTGAGCTTATGAATACATAGATCTATCCAAATCATGTTTTCTTTGTTAATTTCTCCATGGATTTGATTTGGGTTGCCTTGTGTTCAATTGTTTGCATCAATTGCTTTAGCTGACTCAGTCCTTTCTATTGATCTGTCTGATGATTGTGTCTCATCTAACACTGCAAGTTTTCCTGTCTTGTTCAACTAACCGGTTTTCCTTTACTTTAAATTCTTGATTACACAAACCTTTGATGGTTCTCTCCAGTTCCTTGTAGATAAGCTTGATAGAGAGATATAATTAATGGTGATAAAAACACATACACGACTTGTATTTTTCTCGATATATCTATCTGAACAAGCTATCAAATGAAAAGCAAAAAGAATCAGTGTCAGGTTGTTCAAATCATGTTTGGTTCAGAATCTAGTCAACTTATGCATGAGTGAAACAGAAACTTCACAGAATTGAATAGCTTTTGGGTGTACACAAGTCAATTTTAGATGTTGAGTAATTGTCAGTGTAGACATTGTTTTTAACCAATCACAATAATCTATTAGATATCCAGTGTTTAGTCGATGATTATGAGGAGAGGGCGGTTTTGAAATTCTTATCTTTTGTGTAAAAGGGTATGTATGTAGATATACTTTTCAGTTAGTCAAACAAAAGGATTGGAGTGGGAGCCTGAATGCTTCCCCAACTCTTCACTGACTCAAAAACAATTCTAAGAGAACACTCTTGTGTGTGCACGTTGACGTGCCACTCGGAAACGGACATGGTGAATGAATTACAGCTGTTCCTGGATTGCTTGCTTTTCTTACATTTTTTTCTTGACAATTTTTACATTTTTACATTTTTTATTTTTTTTGTAACTGAGTCCCAGCAAGGTTGAAATCACTTCACTATGCACAGCTATATGACAGGTCCTCAGTAGTGGTGTGGTGTACCACTATTTTGAACAACCAATACACACCACTATCTGCAGAAACCCACTATGGATCATATGTAGTGGTGTGTGTTAGTCACTAACACTCACTGTGATATTGTACCACTAGCACTATAATAGTGCACATGTTTTTTGAATGTGAAAAGAGAAATTTATCAAAAGGCGTGTAGTGCACTACCTAGAAAATATGTACAAAGAACTATTCATCTTGGTTTATGGATTACTTGAGCCGGTCAGGAAAAAGCAGAGAGATTGAAAATGAACCAAGTTTTAAAGAGAGTTGGGAAGCAAGGGGAAAGGAGTGAGATGAGAAAATAATAAGATAAGATAGCCAAGATTTGTATTAAAGAAAGCTGTGAACCTGAAGAATAAGATAAGTTGAATGAGGAACAAGTGCATAGGGAGATAACCTCCAAAAAAGATGCAGAAATATTGACAATTAAGGATTACTTCATTTTTTGCATATACACATCCAACACAAGGCCTCAGAAAACTCTCAGGAAACATTGAAACCGGCCTTTATCCATTCAAAAAATGAATTAAGTTGTTCAATGGTTGCCCTTTACAATGCCATTTGATCAGACCTGCAGACATTGGCTGCTCCGGAAAATATCCTCTCACACAAACAAGTGGTTCAGAACAGCACAGGAAATCCTGAGCCATCTCTGCAAGAGCAGGAAAGGCACCTGAGTTGTCCTACATCACACAAAGTAGTGAGAAATCATAGTATTGGTAAAGAGAATGAAAGGGAAATTTACCTTCCACCATGAACACAGCAAGCCACCAATCAACAGGAACTTCCCAGACATGCAGCCCTCCATCTCATGACTAACACCATTGTCAGGAGAAGGCATTGAAGCAAATACATTGTACTTGTCATCTGTAACAGTGGAATCTTGCTGATCTTATACCTTCAGCATAACAGTATAAGATGAATTGAAAGAAAATCAAGCTGAAAGATAAGAAATTGATTATAAAGAAACTGGATAAAGGCTCAAATTGAAAAGTACATTTGTTGGGGGGAGATGTAGTGGTATGTAAAGTATGATTATTGGGAGGATGCTGTTTAAATCAAAGTTTTTGATAATGAATCTAGATTTATAAGTCACAAGCAATGGTCCAAGGGGATTAAGGCAGGTTATTTCATACTTTTCATTTGAAACTCACTTTTGATCATGATTTTGATGGGGTGCACTGGTATGGTAGACGCGGTGGGGGAAAGCGGATTATAGAAGGTCACAAGGTGGATGAGTGGGGCAAAGTATGACAGAGGTGAACTCAAGTATGTGTATACCTTTAATGCTAAAGGAAAGATAAACAAGGGTCTTAACAAAGCACAGGACTTTTAATTGTTTGGGGGCAGAGCCTGATGAAATTTCAATAAATTATCTATCAGTGCACACTGCAG